TTGTGGCCAAAGTGTAGGACCCTGCACTTGTTACTGTTGAACCTCATGCCGTTGGTCTCGGCCCATCTACGCAGCCTGTCCAGGTCCCTCTGCAAAGCCTGGCTACCCTCCAGCAGATTGACACTCCCACCCAACTTGGTGTCATCTGCAAATTTAGTGAGGGTTCCTTCAGTCCCCATGTCCAGAATCCTTTGGTCTCAGCTGCAGGACTCCCATGTGCATCTTCACTGTACTTCATGTGATTCATGTTAGCCCAGTCAATTGAGGTCTCTCTTCATGGTAGCTTTTATTTCCAGCACATCTGCCTGTCTCTGCTAGTTGTGAAATTGTCATCTAGATAGCTTAAAGGTAATTAAGTAGCATCAAACCCAGTATCAAGCCCTAGGGAGTGCTACTCGTGACTAGCTGCCTGATCAAGCCTATAACCACTACTGTTTGAACTCAGTAGTTTAACAGACTTTTTGCTCATCTTGTGGTGGTTCTGTCTGTTCTGTAGCTTGCCAGCTTGTCAACAAGGATGTGGTAGGAGCACTTCACTAAAAGAAAGGTACAGGGCACCCACAGCACTCTCTTTGACCACTGAGCCAAGTTCCTTTATTTAAAAAGGCAATCGTATTGGTTGAGCACATCTTGCCTGTGGTAAATCCATGTTGATTTTTTCCGATTACCATGTTTTTCCTGGGATTTCTGAGGAAAGAAAAGAAAATAAATCTGCTCTTAGGGAAAAGAAATCTCTCCTGTATATTTAGATGTTGAGTCTTGAGGCAATATTGTAACCTAAAAGAGGATGGGTGTGAGAGAGGCTGCTGCTGCTCTTGATTTTGTTGTGTGTAGTAAACAGTCTTCCGAGAGCTAGTGCCATTTAAAGGTTTTATTCATCTCAGGGGAAACTGAGCAATTCTCAGTTGTTTCCTTGAAATTTTTTTTTTTTTAGGTGGAACTGCTGGTGATGAAGGCTCTCTCAGTAGGCTTGGTAAAGGGCAGTATTGATGAAGTTGATAAGAGGGTGCACATGACATGGGTACAACCACGCGTGTTGGATTTACAACAGGTAATGACCAGCTTGAATATTAAGGCAGTACTAACTTGTTTTTTTTGTGAGGTGTCCTGGAAATTAGAATAAGAACTGTGAAGGGTCACTGAGAACTAGTCTCCTTAGTGCTTCTTGAAGATGCTCAGGGAATGAGAAAGTATATCAGCTTTTCCTTGTTCTTTTTTCCATTGCCACCTTTAGCTTTTGCCTTGGGGATAGCGGTGCATTTTGTATCTGTCTGCAGTAAGTAGTTGGAAACCTGTCAGGAGATAGAATAGGGTATTAGTGACACTTCTCTTCCAAAAGCCACACAAACCACCATAAAACACAAATGCTATGACGCTATTTTCCGAAAGGATGCAGACATCTATGTGGCTGCACCTAAGTGCACGAAACAAAATCTTGGAGTTTCTGGGTTGTAGGTGGCAGGCTGTTCCTGGGAGGAGAGAATTTCAGGGTGATAAAGACGAAGGTGCTGAGCTTCTCAAGTTCATCCTCATAACATTTCAGGAGACCGTATAGGGTGCCTTTATCTTTAAAAAAAAATAATTCAGTACACGGAATACTAGCTGCAGACAATTCCTTTTGTGCATTTCAATTTAAACGTTGCCGTTTTGATGGTGAAAGATGTTAAGTGACATCTTTTCAAGATGTGTGGGGTTTTGAGAAGTTGTTTGGGATCTCAAGTGTTTGTCGTTAAAGGCAAATATCGGTATTTCCAGCAATTGAGGCATTAAAGTTATTGTGGACTTGCCTTGCAGATCAAAGGAATGAAAGACCGTCTGGAGTTCTGGTGCACAGATGTGAGGAGCATGGAGATGTTGGTGGAGCACCAAGCTCATGACATCCTAACATAGAGGACCTTGCACTACCCCTGGGGGAGTAATTTCTACTGCTACTGAGGCTAGCAGCACTCAGACCACTGACTCTGTACTGAATTATATTGAAGGGGGGTGGGTGGGCAGAGGGGAGAGCAGCTCTTTGACGCTTGTTTGGAGGAGTAAGTGGCCTTTTGGTGTGTAACCCTTTGGTGCTTGGAGTCAAGATTTCCCTATGCGCTAACATTAGTGGCACCGACCACGAGAGCTCCCGTCCTGCTCTCGGAGGACAAAGGCTCCGCAGTGGTTGATTTATCAGTGGTGTTGTCAAACTGTTGTGGGAGGATGTGATGCTGGTTGCGTGTTGCAGGAGCGGAGGCTATTTGCCGGGTAAGGGAGTAGCAGAAGTTCCTTTATGAGAACATGCTGGAGGGGTGCCTGACCATTGTATGGGACGTTACTTAGTGGTATTGGCCTTAGGAGGGCGTGACCTTCCCCGGTAACCTCCCTCCCCCTGCCCCTGCAGCAGCACAAAGGCAGCATTACTGAAATCATCTCTCTCCTTTTGCCCTCTTTCTCCACAGCCCCTCCCCCTCATCTGCAGTAGAGGGAGTGTTTACTCCATCAAAGGGTTTTTTCCAGGATTACCGTTCAGTGGATGTGTTTTTATATACTTTTGGGGGTGGTTGTCTTTTACGAACACTTTGTGCTAAAGTGAGATGCAGCAGTATTGCTGGAATAAACTTCTCTGCCTTCCCTTTTCTGTTGTTCTGTGTTTGTCGTCTTCGTAACTTGCAGTTGAGCCTCTGATCTGTTTAAAAATACGCTTCCTTTTAAGCCTCATGTTACAAAACCTCTCTGTCCAAGACCGATACAGATTTAAACAGTCTGTTCATCACCGGTAGGGTAGAATGTGATTTACTTAGCATGTAGTACCTTCGTATGCATGTTATTGTCAAGTTCCTTTCTTTTGTGGGAAGCTGTAGTCCTGATGCCTTTTCTCAAGTTGAGTAAGCATTGCTGACAGAAAAGGCCTAAATAAGTCCTGAGACAACAAGTTTTTATTCTCCTTTTGCCTTTTAACAACTGCTTCTTTAAAAGCTTTCTGTAGTTTTTGTAGTTCTGTAATTGTTCTGTAGTTCTGTAATTGTTTTGCCCTGCTGCTGCTGCAGTCTTTTATAGGGATGGAAGGGAGTTGTGCACATGGAGAATTTGAAATCAATGCAAATCTCAACTGGGGGCTACCTCCCAAGTATCCATTTGGATGCATAATACTCCTAATTATAAGGCAGTAATAGCAAGCTAAGCTAAGGTTTATAACAGTAACTTTAAATTGAGTGGAGTCATATTCACATCTCTGGCTACATTCCTCGGGATGTAAGTAGGTTTTTAAATGCTGCTGCCGATGTATCCGTGGTCAGTTCTTTGCAGTGCCAGTTTGGTTACTACTGCGATTCAAGAGCTCTGCTTATCTCTGGTGTCACTCTGACAGACTGAACTACTGGAATTTTTATACATTCCGTGCTTTTTCCAGTTTGCTGTCTTGACTCTGAGGGTTTAATGCTGGGAAAAAGAAAGCACATGGCTGACGCCAGACTGCTATGCAGGTGCAAAGATGTCTCCGGCAAGAGAGACTTCAGCTTTTTAAAAACAACAAAATCCCATTGTCAGACCCTGTACCTGGTCACCCTCTGCCCTTTTGTCTCTCTAATCAGTTCTGGCCTAAATTTCTTCCTGGTTTGGAGTTGTTCAGTTCTGAATGCCTGCCTCTCCTCTGTGCAGCCCATCAGTTTTATCATTTTGCTCTGCCCTTGTTAGTTCAGCTGTCGGAGTGTGCGTTGAACCACATTGTTTTCTCCTCCTGTGTTATGTGGTTTGACTTTACCCAGTTCATGCTTCAACTTGTCTTCCAAAGCTCACTCCTGACGTCGCTTTTACTGACTTCAGAAGAGCGTGCGGAGGAGACAAGTGTTCTGATCAGGAAAATGTTTCCTTTATTTCGTAGCTAAGGACAGGAAAAAGGCTTTAAAAAGGACAGTCTCTGTAGTAGTGTCATGTTAGGAGGAAATGAAATGCCAACTGTGTGGCAAAGCTAATGCATCGTAAGGCTGCTGTTGCTTTAGATGAGCCTCAGAAAACCCCAAAGCGTTACTGTTGAAAAGGTACTAAAGTCTTCTCCTGAGAGTATTTTGACAGCCCTCTTGTACTGTGGGGAGTGCTCTCTTGTATGTAAATTTTTAGCAGCTCACTGAAGTGAGTGTGAAGATCTACAGTCTAAGTGAATTATGACAGTTGTTTAAAAGGTTTTTCCAAGACATCAAAGTCTTACTTGCTACCCAAACCTTCCTCTGTGGGAACAAATGCTGGCTGTCTGCTTCCCTACCACCAATAACTTAGGAAATTAGGTGTGTGTTAGGGGGTGGGAAGGTTCTTCATGCAGGAAGAAAAGTGAAATGTTTAGCACCCAGATTGCGGACTGTTTTAAACGTCACTTCCAGCCTTTGAGTATTTTTCTTGCTAGGGATTTAACTTCATTTCGCTTCCTTGCTAGTGCTGTGAGTGGTGCCTTAGCGTGCCCTGTGCTTCGCTGCCAAGGTACAAGGTAAAAGCTCTGGTGGGAAATGCGTGTCCCTGCTGGAGCCTGCTGCAAGCTGCTAAAGGGGCACGGCCTTTAGGACAGCGTGCTGGCTAGCAGAGCAGGATGGCAGATCCGTTCCCCTATGAACAAACACATGGTTGAAGCAAAACCAGCCACCCATTTTGCAGAATGCTAATGTGAATCTAGCAGAGCAGGATGGCAGATCCTTTCCCCTATGAACAAGCACATGGTTGAAGCAAAACCAACCACCCATTTTGCAGAATGCTAATGTGAATTTTAATGAACAAACTTGGGAGAGTTTCTTCCCGGTGAAGATCTGTTCTGTGGTCTTGTCTTGACTCATAGTTCTGCTCTCAGCGGGGTGCAGGTTGTTCTTGCCACTTCTTAGTGTGATCCGCTCTTGTAGTGCTCCACGTGTGCCAGGATCCAGGCTGCTGGCAGCAGGAAGCACGCAGACATCACTGAGAACGCGATGACTTGCTCCTGCGGGCGGGAGAAAAAACAGAGGAATTGGTGGGATGGCTGCGCCACGGCCGCGTTGTACATGGGGGTCCTGGGATGATTGCACGCTGGTGCTGCATCTCATGCACTGGATCAAGCGCACTGGTCCGTGCTCCTTGCTCTTTCCAGCCACTCGGCTGTCGGATGGACCCTGGGGCCATGGGAGGGAGATTTGGGTAAGCAGAGCAGCTGCCACCAACAGCAGACCAGGCTGGTCGCTCTCTAGGTTTGTTTCTACCACTCTGTGTTTCTCTGTCGTGACGCTCACTGGGAAATCAGAGTAACTTGTGACTTTCCGTCAGCAGCGAGGCTTGGGCTCGCAGTGTTTCCAAAAGCAGCTGTGCCTGACTTTCAAATGACTTTGAGGTGTGAATTGCAACCAGCAGCAGCCTCTTCTATTTCTGGTGCACTAGGGCAGCACTTAACCCCTTGCACTGTCACCTTTATTTCTTTTTTTTATTTGCCTAGAAAACAAGTCTCCAGGCTTGTGAAGCACTTTGTTGCAGACCTTGGAAAGAGCAGCAGAGAGTAAAATCCATAAGCAAGGAAGGGGTGAAGGTGAAACCCAACCAGGATTTCTGGTGAAAAGCTCCTTTTTCCAAGCTCATTTCACCCAGCGCAGCAGGCTCTCTGCAGCTGGAGCAGCTCCTATTTCGGTGGGGGTCGTCCCCGGAGGGAGGAACGTCGGAGGGACCTACGCGATCTGGCTCTGCGATGACAGCAGACCCCATCCTTGCCCACGGGGACACCTGCTTCGGGGTGAGCGTCCCATGAAGCCGGGAGGTGTGTGTGTGTGCAGGACCCAGGTCTGTCCCTGTGCTGGCAGGGTGCCTTGAGGGACTGCCAGCGCCACTGCCACCTCCTCCCTGAGGTCCTCAGGCTGCCCCATGGCTTAACTGCCGTGGGGGACACCTTGGGCTGCAGAGGACCCTCAGCAGGTACCCTAAACCCCAAAAGTTGAGAGACTGAAAGGATAAAATAAAATGGCAGCAAGAGCCTGAAGGGGGGGCAGCAGGGCATGCACCCTGCTCTGGGGGTGCAGTCTGGAGCTTGCACTGCTCGGGGGGCACCTTTCCTCCTTTTTCTCCCCCTCTCCTTTTGCTTTCACTCCCAACAAAAATAATTCGGCTGTAATGCAGGGGTGGGTTTTGTGCACCCCCCCCCACACACCTC